ATGTTGAAGATTATATAGAGTTTTTGGGCAGGAACTCTAATATATATAATCGGGGTTAAAATTTTTGTTGCAAAGACTCCATATATGATACATTTAGTGCTTTAACGTTAAATTTTCCAAAAATTAGGTTAAATATGATTGGTGGCGATCTATTTATATAGTCAACTGTAATTTTTAAAGTACAAGGCAAACTGAAGTTTGACTAAAAACTCGATAAACCGAAGTTGGTCACAAAACATTTATTCATTCTAACTGGGACATCTGATTAAAAATTATGCCGAAATCAAAAACTTATTAACCAGTCAGAATGAAAAAAGCTGTAAATCTTGTAAACCGAAATTTTTTACTAATCCCCCCCGGACAGGGTTGTTAGTGGTAACTTACCATCGTAAGTTACTACGTACAATGCTTGCTTGAATGTTGCTATTTTCGTTATCGTTATTACAGCTGTTGTTATTATTAACTAAAAACTCAACAAGTCCCATAACTAAGTATACTGAATAATTTTAGCAAAAATTAAACTAACAGATAAAATTTTATAAAATTTTATATTTATATACGCTTTATTTATACGTATAATTTTAAAATAGATAAAAACGATTGTAATAAGATAGTAGATAATAAAAGGATTCATCGACATCATTTTATCGACACAACACTTCACTGACATGTTTCTTTCACAGACAACCAATTCCTAGGCAAGCTCATTTCGTGGACAACTTATTTCACCGACAGCTCATTTTACCGACAATTTTATTTTTTATATGTCCAGGAATTGGTTATCTGTGAAACAAACATGTCTGAATTGATTGTAGGTGAAATGTTGTCAATAAAATGAGAGTCGATGAAGTGGACGGAACCAAAACTGAACATCACTGCAATACTGACGACAGTCATGAAATTAAGATTGAGGTTAGCCTTATTTAGAGTTATTGTTGAGAGTCGGGGAAATAGCCGTTGATGAAACGGGGTGAATCCCTACAATACCAGTTATAAAAACGAATAGAAGTTGAAAAAAGAATTTGTGATAGAATATTTTCAAAAGATATACGACTCGATTTACGTGATAGATGTTTTTATTAGGATAACTTTGTAACCTGTGAATTCAATTAATAATAAATAAATTACTTAATTCCATAGTGCGATCCACAAAAAAATGGAACCATGTTTAATTTACAAATCAAAGAAATAACTTATCATATAAAATTTTTATTAATTACTGTAAGTCGTGAAAAATTAAGCTAAAATCCAAATAAAATAAATTCGCAATGTCTAGAGGAAATAAATTAATATTCGATAATGATGAGAATGTAAACACAATTTGCTTATTACCGGTATTTGACTTATACCGTAACTAAACCCATCTACCCGAAAACTGGAATCGTACCTAACTCGGACAAATTATGTGACTTTATTCATCGAAATGATGACTCATTTGGTTAGTTTAAATTTTGCTTGAGGACACCCCAAGTCAGTCGATATTTAAAAAAATTGACTCAAGCTCTTCACTCAATGGATCTGAGGTAAAATTTTAATTGATAGGAATTCGAATAAATAACAAAGAGTTATCATAAAATATAGAGGTGCAGACCATCTTTTTTCATAGAGTTACTCTGATTGGCTAAAGTTAAAATCCTCAGTTCGCAAAATGAATTTTCAGCATTTAATCGTAATAATCACTCCAATTAATTGCAATGATTGAGAGTGTTATTAAGTAACTCTTCCCAATGTAATTTGTTAATGATCGAGTTGTAGCTCAATGATTGTGATTCATTGAAGTGATTCTTGTAATAATTTCGCTCGACAAAAAGTTTTAAAAATTTAAAAAAATTAAAATTATCTACAGGGATGTAGTATTATCAAAATAGAGTGTGGAAATTAATAGTAATCGATAAAAAAAATAATTCTTCATCTGAATTCCTTTATTGTCATAAATTTAAAATATGTAATTATTTTCTCAAATTTCAATTGAGTCTCTCTACAAGCAGATCGATCTTAAAAAGCATTAAATTTGTTAGGCCGCTATCGAGAAATCTTTATATACAATAATGATAATAAATAAAAATTCCCAATTTATTTTTTTCGTTAGCTATGTCAGTCTGATCATAAAATATTTCAATAGGAAATATGAGGAAGATTATATTTTAAAAAGTTAGAGATAAACTGTGTGTTGATGAAGGCAGGAATATTGATAGGCAATCCGTCATAATAAAGGAGGACAATTCCAATTTCATGATTGTCAAATCACTTTTTTTAACTTATTTTTTTTTTTTAATAAAGAAAGCAATATGTCCGGATATATTACATTTAATATTCTCATAGATAATAATAATGCATCAAATTCTTGTATTACAAGGTCATTCATATATGTATATTCTTCGTTCAAAAATTTTAGATGGCAAATCAATAAGTGAAAAGGAGAATTTCAACTTTTTAACATCAGCTATTGTATTGGCTAATATATAATTCTCAATTCCACAACAAAGACAGTCTACTTCGAATTTTTAAGTTTTCATTTTTAGAATTGCTTTTTTTTTTTGCTTGTAATGCCGCATGATTATTAGAAATATCTAATAATTTACTTAGAACATAGGTAACAGAATTCAATATACAGTATACACGATTTAATTAAGCAATCGAAAAACAAAAAATAATGTAAATATTTTATTATAATTTCAATACCGATAATACAATCTTATTTATATTCCAAAATTATAAATAATAAATGAATTCGAATAGCGATAATTTGAATCGTCGATAATCTATTATGTAGCAAAAAAAAAAAGAAGTCAGTAAATACTGAAATCATCAGATATTATATTGCCTATTTACGTAGATTTCACTATAGTAAACAAGCCAAAACTGCCTACTTCAATAAAACATACTAGTATGCCGTGATAAATCACGAAACATTTAAGTATATATCTATTAAGGAAGTTACATAACTGATTCCTCTTAAGTTACCTAAGTTACGAATCAGTAGACCTTAATAGACGTTTTAACGAGTAGTAGGTAGCCTTCTGTTTCCGAATGCGTTAACAAATATAATACTGACCTTTGTTAACGTGTTTTATTAAAAAGAAAAGGTTTTTGTAATAGCTTGTACAAGAAAATTAAAAGACATTATAACAGTAAGAAATAAGTAATTAAAAGCTGATATTAAAAAACAATATGCTATAACGTGTATTTTTAACATGTTGATTTTTTTAAATAAAGCAATTTGATTGGATCCGCACACGTAAAAAATGATATGATTTAATTGGTTGATTTTCACGGGTAGATCTACTATGAAGTGTCGCGTGCAAGTGGTGATACTATCGCGTTAACTATCGCGACTATAGATGGGTGCACGAAATTCAAAAGAGGAAATTACAACAATGCCACTTGATTATTAATTATTGTTTTAATTTCCTTTTTGAATTTCGGCACCCATCTATAATCACGACTATATAATATTACTAGGGTTTGAGTTGCTAAAGCTAATTTATTTTATTTTTATTTTCTCTTTTTTTTTCTTTATAGATTTATGACGAATTGAAATTTGTTTTCTAGTATCCTTTAAAGTTATGTTACATTTGCCACAGTGTTGTGTACGAGCAGTGATACTATTGAGACTGTATACATATTTTACTAGCTGGGGTCTCTTTAGTTTGAGTTTGCCGGAGCTAATTTATTTATTTATTTTTCTTTATAGATTTATGACGAATTGAAATTATATTCTAGTAAGTAGTATTTATCCTTTATGGTTATAATACACTCGCTATAGCGTCGTGTGCGAGCGGTGATACTATTGCGACTGTATACATATTATACCAGCTGGGGGGTTCTACCACAAAATCCCGAAAACCATTTTCCCGAAAGAGCATAATACCGACTAAATTGGCCAACATTATAACTAATGCCGGCTAAACTTGTCGGTATTAGGTCCTTTCGGGAATATGTCTTTCTGGATTTTGTGGTAAAACCGTAATTGTTAGCCTATAGGGTCAGGTATAGCAATAAGCATACTATTCCGTAAATCTCGTATTAAATCTAATTTTATATTTTGATTTTTAGTAAGCTCAATTTCATCAGAATCGTCAAGATTCTCCTCTGGTAAAGCAATATTTGTGGTTGTTTTTTGCTGATCGTTTCCCAGGGAAACGGTTTTTATATCACATGATGAATTATTATTGCCTTGCAATGAGGCTACGCCTCTATCCGAAGATAAGTTTTGCTCCCGAAGTTTCTTCTCCCTAATTCTCTCCATTATCTCTTTACCGACCTGTTCCTTATGCATTGAATCCATGAATTCATCCTCCTCCTTTTCTTCTAGCGATTTAGAATTTGAAGTATTATTAGAAATATCAAATATCGAGATATCATCTAATTTAGCAATATGGTTGCTCTTCTCTTTATCATTTTGAGATTGCTTCTGCTCCAATTTCATAAATCGCTCTTCATTTTCTTTTGCTGACCGTTCTAGTTTCGCGATTCTGCCATTGAGCTTAGCATCGATAAACAATACAATAAAATAAATTCACAAAATACATATGCAAAAGTAAACACGATTATGTATGCAAAATCGACCTTCTATGGATCAGCTTTATTGATATAAAAAATAAAGTACAGATAGAGCAATAAATTATAGAAAGTTATGCAACTATGCAGAATAAAGCCTCTGTTCAAAGTTAATTTGCTAACTTTAAGTTATTTCATTATTTACAAAACTACATTTATCGTTAAATCAAATATGTTATTAGATTAATAATTATACAAATTTATTTATTATTGAAACTTTATTAATATAAAAAACGAAATTTAAATGGTTCTCCTTGTAATCGATCAAGGACTATATTGAGAATATAAATTGGAAGATGAGCCTTGTCAGTTAAGATCATCGAAAATATAGACGTAACTGCCTTTTCAATGGTGTAAGGGCTAAATCTTGAATCGTCGGGGATCGTCACAACCCCAATAGCCCCATTATTCTCAGGTTAAGTGAGAGCCCCATCCAATTCTCGAACGACGGAGGGACCTAACAACCAATATTTTTTAGTATTATTACAAAACTTATAATACTTATATTATACTGTAACTTACTACTTATTGGGGTTTTCCAATTTTTGCATTGGAAAACGAAGTCTATCCCATGGAAGCGCACACGTATATCTACCCCTCTGTCGTTTTTACCACTATATAAACAAATAATTTGAGTATCTGTTTCATAATCGTATACCCTAATTTGCCATTAATTCCCAAGGGCGAAACCGATTGCAGGAACATTGGTAACCAAAAGAAGAACGTTCAACTGTCGAAACAGTAGGCCATATTGCGCTTTCAATTCGTTTGGACCAAGGTGGACGTACTTTCGGATACACAACGATTAGATAAACACCCAATGAGAAAAAAAACTCACCCTATATGGTCAACTTCAAATCCAAGACTCCTCAACAACTCAACTACCTCTTCTTCGAATTTCCTCCCCTTTTCAACGGACGATAGCTTACTATTAACGACAGGTATTTTTTTGTTGGAAATTTTTGTATTAGTAAGAAATAAAAGCCCATCTTTTATATTAATTTGATATCACTTCCTTTCGCTAGGAACATTTTAGAATTTTTTTATCAAGAAAACGTGGTTTTTTGCTTGAATCATTACATCTCAAAATTTCAAAGAAAATAACATGAAGAAAAACTGTTTTTAGAATTTTTAAAATGTTCGAAAACTATTTTTAGCAGATTTATCGATTTATCCTCAAATAGAAATTAAGCACAAAGATTATTTACAACAATCACAAGTCTGCTTGATTGCTTGATTCAAGTTTACCACATGTACTTATCATGTTTATCTTTCTGATGCCAATATTTGAGCATTCTGAGTTCTACTGTACAACCAAATAATTACGGATTATTAGCAGAAAAAAATAGCTTGTGTAGAAAGTAACAAAGGAGGATAAATTGAGGGTTACCCATCTCACAGATAAATTATGCATAATCCAGGGTTGTGTTTTACGTTTATTTCATGTATTAAATTTTATTTTTTTCTAACGCTAAGAATTGATATTTAATTATTTGTATGTAGATTCAGATTACATTCACATCACCTATATATGCCATCTGCTACTTTTTTTGCACGTTTTACAATAAATATGCGAATGATGATTGCATTCGTCACAAACCCCTTTTTTCTCACAAGTTTGAAAAAAGATAAATATATACTAATATATGTTATCTGTCTTTTTCTGACTTCGAGTTATGAAGTCACGAGAAGATGGGTAAAGTAAAAATAGATCACTATATTAATCTAGACACAAGCATATATGCGAGTGGATAGGGGATGTGCCACTTTTCGATACGTATAATTTCGACTTTTTTTTTATTTGTATATGTATTATTATGATTTTTCATTTGTATATTAACAGAAAAATATATACGTATACGTGGCTAAAATTTATTATACGTACAAACCTGTAATGTGTGGTATGGCATAAGCTAGGGTTATAACTTTAGATTTTTCTTTACATAGTTAAGGTACATAAGTGTCACGTATTAATTTATTACATGAAAAAGTAAGAAATTATTACACGTCGACTAGGGATTGGACCCGGGTGGGTACAACTCGGGTCACCCGCAGGTAGGTGGGTAACCCGGGTTAGAGTTGTAGTAACCCGGGTAAAAACAGGTAGGTAACCCGCGGGTAGTGATCCTGGCTGATAGTGAAAAAATCGGCTTAGCCGGTCGATTTTTTTAAAAATCGGCTGATCGATTTTATTATGACATTCCTAAACGAACTTAATCTTCCAAATGTTTCCGAAATTTTAATAAAAAATCGACTAAGCCGACTAAGCCGATAAAATTTTATCGGCTTAGCTAGTCGAAAAATTTTGATCGGCCAGGATCACTACTCACGGTTGACCCACAGGTGGTCATCCGATTAGTGTTTGAATAAAATTCTCCTCAATGAATTCAAACAAGATTTGAATGAAATCCAAAAAGTAAGCAAAGTACTTTATAATTTTTATCAAATTAAATGATTTT